TTTACAGTCCCCACTAATTGCATGTTTACTGATTTAGTACCAATTCATATTCCTTGTTTTTCATTTATGTATAGTAAATCTAGAATAAAAATACAGATGCCTATGACCAACCCTTATTAAGAAATCACGTCACTGAGAAATACATGGAGTCGATTCCTGTGCAGTACGGATGCCACATACATGTAGCTCTCCACACATTTGAGAAGTATTGCAGAGACACAAGTAAAGTGATTTGGTACAGTGAGTCATCATAGAACATGGCCGTACTTCCTACCAACCATTAGGTAGCAGATACATTAACTGTGGACTGAATGAATGAATGAGTGAGTGAAAACGCGTTATTTCCTGTATCCTTGACTAATCTGTAGCAACTGGATAAAGAGGCTAATTTCACATCGCGCAGAGCTTATCTCAACATTGATGTGATTCGAGAGGGTTAGATTAAGCTATTTCCTGACTCTGCATAAACATATTCAAACAAATTATTTTGTATTTGTGACATTATGGATGATTACTCATTGGGCTGAAGAAGAGCAGATATTCCTCATCTGTTTATTTCTAAAAAAAGACACATCTGGTTTGTAAAAAAAAAAGAAAAAGAAATAAAGAAAATGATCGCAGAATGAGCACTACATATTCACAATTCAGGCAGTGAGTCCCAGCTGACAGGCAAAAAACCTCATTACTCATCTCTGGGCTCAGACCATGTCTAGTAAAGAGCCACTGTTCCAAGTTCTTTTCTGCCTGCCTTTCATCTCAATTCCCAAAACTGGGCTCTTTTCACCCAGCCACTTACTGGAAGATCTACATGGGGCAAAATGAAGCTCATTTACGTCGTTCATGTGCTGGGAGATAAGAGACAAGGAAAAGGAGCCGTCTAGGAGCTCATAAAAGTTAATCACTTAATATTTCATCCCTGTTGTGTCCACCAGCCACTGGGTTGTCACTTCAGTTACACACAGACATGCAGATTAACTAGTCATGGGATGAACCCCTCAAGCTTCTCAAACCATGCAACCCTTTGTTGTCTCTCGAAAAACATGAAACTGCATTCTCCTGCAGAAAGCTCCCGAAAGTAGAGCAACATTTACATCCTGTGCAAAACACAGCACTCAGCAGTCATTACAATCTATTACAGTCCTCAAAATCCATTACCAAGACGTATGTTTCGGGTTGTGGGTTGTGTGTTAGTGTGTTCATGTACGCCTACATGTGCATGCGTGTGCACGTGCATGTCTTTGATTATATATACAGATGCAGTAACACTCACCATTGTTTTCCATTAGGGACAACTAATGAGACGTTGGTGAAAGAAAACAGATGGTCAGTAATAAAGTAGCACAGTTGTAAATGAGTGATGCTCTATTTACTGTGGAGGATATCATACTTCTCAACATTAAGGTGAATGATTCTAAGTGTTACTATTGACTTAAGTCTGCACAGACTGAAAGTGACTTAATAAATGAAAAATAATAAAATAAAAATGCATGTAAATCATTTGCATGTACTAAATATGCCTTGTGCTTCTTGATAAGTGAGTGGGAAGGATTGTATATTCATATGGTTTTATTAAAAGACAAATGTTTATGCAATAATAAACACAGGAAACAAATATGGTTATGCTCTCACACAAATGCACTGTAACATGGGAAACGGGACTAATGCATTTAACTGAGGGCAAGTATGTGACCACACACATACACAATCTCAAATAAATATATAGACGGATGACAAATTACATAACATAAAGTAGAATCAATGCTCCTTGGCATTGATTCTACGAGTCCCTGAACTCTACTGGAAGGATGAACACCATTCTTCCAAAAGATATTCCCCCATCTGGCATTTTGATGATGCTGGTGGAGAGCGCTGACAAACACCTTGCCAGTTGAACACCATAGGTGATCTGGTGACTGCAAAGGCCATATCATATGCTTCCTTTAACTTGTCCCTTGTGTGTACATTATGTCTCAGGGTTGAGACAAGGTTGTCCTTGTTGAAATACTTGTAGTGACTGCAATACATGTCCATATGTGGACATTCCTCACAGGCCTGTGTTGGATCCAAGCCAAAACTCATTCCAACTGTTTGTTTTCCTGTGCGTGTACGTGTACGTGTGTGTGTGTGTGTGTGTGTGTGTGTGTGTGTGTGTGTGTGTGTGTGTGTGTAAAACAAAGCGAGAAAGTAAGTGACAGTGAGAGAGAGACTTTTGATGATGAAAACAGTTGAAATGTGTGGTCACAGAGAGTCAGTCTGTGATTCAGTCAAGTATAAAGGCTGAGATGTCATGTGCATTTGAGAGCTGCACTTCATACGTTAGAGGCCGTGTTATCAGTGTTTGCTCTGGATGCAGTTCAAAGGAGTGAGATGGTGACAGAAATGTGTCCAAAGAACAAAGAATTGAAGATTAGAAGAGTTCAAAGATAAGAGATGGGGGTCTGGTTTCTGTAGACTCTGATTTAATTAAAACCTCTCTCACTGTTCTTTTCATTGTATCATTTAACTCTCTTTCTTTTTGTCTTCATGTGAAGCCAGCGCATCCATCTCTTGACAATTCTCTCTCTCTCTCTCTCTCTCTCTCTCCCTATCTCTCTCTCTCTCTCTGAGGTGATAAGTGAGTGACTCTGGACCAAGTCTGGCAAATGTCCCAATATCCATTACAGTTAGAGAATAGACGAGCAAACATTACCCACCACCCACTGACGCAAACACATGTTCTCCACATATACACACACACACACACACTTATCAGGTAGTTATCCTCATTCCACCAAGCACACATTATAAACCCACATGCCATTAATGAATCAGTTCTCAGAGGACAAATAACACTCTGCAACTCCTTTTACAAGGTCTATGTATAAAAGTTAATATTGATTAAACAACGATTTTTGTCTTACTTTACAAACTAGCCATTTTTATTATTAATGGCCATTGGTTTTCAACTGTTATTGTATGTACACCCTATTAATCTGTTCTTTAGTCATATGTGACAGAGCAGCTGTCATCAGCCAAACTCTCTGATATCCAACTCCAGATGTCCATTTGACACAGAATCATATGAGAGTGGGTTATTCTAAGGCCTTATCACATCAAACTCACCATCAAAATGTTAATCATACTTATCAATACTGAAACAATTCAAGTCTTAACATCATCTGCAGCAATCCAGCTGCAGCTGAGACACTTAACCACATTGGCTGATAACACACTGTCTCAAATGGCAGCTTTACTTTTCCTTGTTTCATTAAATGGCTGCCATGAAATAACTGACCGCAACAAAGCCTCCAAAGTCCACGTAATAATACATAATGTTGTGACTGGATTGACTACGGCGATTAAATACTGAAATTAGCGTGTGAGTGTGTAAGGGGACATTCAGACCTGTACAATAGCAAGGCCTTTACCTGTGTTAGGTAGTTTTAGAGTTACTTATTTTAAAAGTTTGTTTTTTTTTTTATATAAATGAATATATTCATACAAAGATGGAAGTATAAAGAAATCTATGTATAATTGTGATGTGTTAAGCAATTCTTATTTGCATATTTTAACTTAAACTGACACTATATAGGTTTTGAGCGAATATATAACACATTTCTTTTTCTTAAAAATTAAAAGTTGAATTCATCAGTAATTAAAGGCACCCTTGCTCAATACACTGTGTTTTTTCAGTACAACCTTCTTTGGTCTGGTATGGCCACTAGCTTGTGGTGGTTGTGATAAACTGCAGTTTGACATTGCTATGTAACAGACGTTAAGGAGTCTGAGCACTGACGTGACATTTTTCTCTACTTGTGCTACTGTTCAGTTGCAGCATTCACTGTCATCCCATAATCATCATATCCAGCCACAGTGGCCACTGTTCAGCGACGCTTATATAGCCTCTAAATAAATATTTCAATGTCATCGCACAGTTCACTGGAAGCTTATCGGAGAATAAAAACAGCATTCTAACATTAGAGTTTACTTGTTGCAAAGGCAGATTTTTGTACATTTTCTCCACCAAACTGTGAGTCATTATGTCAGTAGTTCCTAATTTATCATTTTTATCAACTATTACAAATATGGCCCCAAGTTAATACTCTTATTCAGTAATATTTTGGACACACTGCATTAGTGTATTCCATCATTTAATGTGATGTATTAATCCAAAAAGAAGCACAGAGGCCATATTTGTCCAAAGACATACTTGGTTGTCAGATCGCAGTTGCTGTAGCTTTATAGCTTTGATGAATGGACATTAGTTTAACATAATCTTCCACATTTATTGTAATTAATCAGCTTTGATAGTCGATAGGTTATGTGTAGGTCACACTTATAATCCCATCTGCTCTTTGTTGTTTAATGCATGGCTGTACAACATCTGAAACTGTAGAAAATACTGTACCAATGATTAACTGTGTTTCTCCTCTCTGTCCACTAGGTGTCAGTACAGCCATAGAAGATGGTGTTAGAGCCAAAAAGATGCCATGGAGCACTATGAACCAGCCACTCTCACACAAAGCTGTTCAACAGCCATCACAGACATTTCAGCAGCAAAGCATCATGCGGATTTTCAGTTCTCAGTAGCAGCATTCATCAAGAGACAAATGTTGTTCAGCCAACTTCTTGCAAGAATGTGTTTAGTCAAGTCAGAGAAGCGTTGAAAGCTATGGTCAGTAGAATTGAAGCCCAGCAAGAACAGCAAGCAGTCAAGTGAATTAAAGCTAAAACAGAGGAAATACTGGGAGAGGGAGGGAGACAGGGGGACTACATGTGGCCAAGCTCTTAAGTCACATTTGACCATGGAGACACTGAGACACCTTAACAAAAGGCAGCACCGAAATACTCTGACTGAACATATTTCATAACATTATATCTGAGTTTAAGGCTTATTATTTGGATGTCCTCTTTGCAAAAAGTAAGACCTATTATCTGGTTTAAAACTAAGACCCAAACATAATTATGGCTCACAAAAAGCTGCAGCCATGGTGACATCTCCCAGTGAAGCTTCAGCGATAATGTCAAAAGTGATGCTGGGTGTCATCCTGTCCCTCCTCATCCTTCTGACTGTTGGTGGTAATGTGCTGGTGTGCCTCGCTGTCTGTGCCTCTCGACGCCTCCGCTGCCTCACCAACTGCTTCATTGTGTCGCTGGCCGTGACAGACCTGCTGCTTGGCCTCCTGGTCCTCCCTTTCTCCGCCCTCCTCCAGCTCAACGACGAGTGGCCGCTCGGCCCGGCCTTCTGCAACTTCTACATCTCCATGGATGTAATGTTGTGCACTGCCTCAATCCTCACCCTCCTGGCTATCAGTGTGGACCGCTACCTGGCAGTGACCATGCCTCTGAGATACGCCTCACTGGTTTTACCGTGGAAAGTTGCGGTGGCCATGGTCAGTGTTTGGACAGTGTCTGTGGCCGTGTCTTTCTTGCCCATTCAAATGGGGTGGAACACTGTTAATGGGACAGTGCAGAACCATGGGCCCTGGGCTCCAGAGAGGAAATGTCGTTTTGAACTAAATAGACCCTACGTCCTGACCGACTCTCTTCTTACTTTCTACCTGCCTCTGATGGCAATGTGCTGGACTTACCTCCAAATACTTCGCATTGCAAGGGAACAGGCTAAGCGCATTGTCAGTGCCCGACCCACTTGCATCACTACCTACAACTACAGAAACAATCAATCTACCAGTACAACTGTGGTTTCCAGTGTGACAGCAGTTGCTCTGCGGGAACACAAAGCCACAGTGACACTGGCTGCAGTAATCGGGGCTTTTGTTGTGTGCTGGCTGCCTTATTTCATCCTGTTCACAGTGTTGGGCCTGAAGGAGCACCCAGACCCCAGCATAGTACCAGAATTTCCAATTGTGTTGTGGCTGGGTTACGCCAACTCAGCCCTCAACCCTATCCTCTATGGAGCTCTCAACAGGGACTTCAGGTCAGCCTATACCCATCTACTGAGATGTCGATGCCCTACTTACTTACAGAGGAGCCGACAGCCGTCTCTCACTGTAACAGCAGGTAATACATTAGACAGACATTAAAGTCTGCAGGTAAATCTGCACAATTATTGAGCATAAGATAACTAGAGTTTGAGAATCAGTTAGATTTAAGAGTGGAAACTTATTTCAACAAAATACGGCAACCAGTGTGAATTCGTCACATTGTCTTATCCTGAGTTTCTCCAGTTTTTATTTTTCCTTTCCTTCTCCCCATCTCAGCCAGAGAGCAGCTTACAGAGGTGACATTGCTGTGTGGCCACACCCCTGTCACATGCAGGGCAGGTCTTGCAGATCAAAACTTCATGCTTCAAGAAATGAATAGTACGACCACAGCAACTATTCAATTTGCAAACGGCACTGCTACCACAGATGTCAATGGCAATGAAAGGTAAACTCAGCCATGGTATACCTTGTGTGCAAGGCAGAGAGGTGAATGTCAGCAATGGATTTCTTGCAACAATCATCAAATTTAATGCAACTACTTCAAAGAAAATGATGCTTCACATTCAAGTTGGAGTATAAATGCTGTAATACTCACACTGCACACACATCGGGGGCACATGACAAACTAACCCATTTAACCAAAAAAGGGCTTGGATTGGTGAATTAAGCTGCTTGAGTGTGACTCTTCACACTCACTACATAGTGGCACTGGATTATAAGTAGTATATTTTTCTCTGTTTGACTCTAAAACACAGGATCCAATAAGTCACACTAACACGAATATGTTTTTTCTCATCTCTTGTGTTCAATGAGCTCAGGTCGTGCTGAGCCTGTGCCGATGAGGTGGATGTTGTGTTCACTGTGGTTACAACATGGAACCAGAATCCATCCTGAGTAGAGAACACACCAGACAGACAAAAAGATGGACCAAGACTTACAGCCCCTCTATTTGGAAGCTTTCAGTGCCACGGCACAACCACATAATACACCATGTAAGTAGATATACATACTGACATCCTCATCACCCCCACAGACCATGTCCTCTCCAGAGCAAATGAACTGTGACACACAGATCCTAGCCATGTCATCCGCAGTGCATCAAGCCATATGGCAATATGCATATTAGGCCAAGAAATCTGCTTTCAGCACAGTGGAGATACATTATCCACTTTCACATCCTGCTCTCATTTCTTTGTTTGCATTTTGTGAACAGTATCAACTAAACATTTTGCTCATTGTGTATGTTTGTCAAGTGTGTATTAGTTAAAAGCTGTACCAGCACTACAGCGCTGTAGCATTTAGTACAAAAAAAAAACAAAACATTCAGTGCATTCTGGGTGATATATTGCATCACACAACACTCCCCAAAGTTCATCTTGTCAACTAACACAAGCGTAGTCGTACGAACTGAAAAAAAGTGTATAAGATATTTGTCTCATCTTAAAAATGCAGAAATCCTTTCAGAGAGAAAAATATCATTACAAAGTCTTACACGTATTATCAAGAACCAGGGATGGATTTCTCTGCAGCTAATATTAAGTCAGAGGGTTATATAGAGAATTTATTGTTGATCTCAAAGCACCCTCTGAAATATTTGTTTCAAACTAAATTATTAAATGTTTTTGCAAATAAATATTCTTATATGTGCACACAACTTTTAACCTCTCTAATACCAATCCTACCTCCTAAAGAGTTTATGTCTTCTATGTGATTGCTGGTACAGCTGACTAATCTCTCAGAGTGCAAGGTGATACACACTCACCACAATGGTGAAGGGAATGATTTCTTCCTCCCTGCATATTGTACACCCAAAGTGATTGAATATGGAAACAAACTTTTGATCCTCTTCATTTGTGTGTGTGTCTTTTCTGTTAGCACTCACTCTGTCCACAATTTAACAAACAAAAACGTGAGAGAACAGGACCTCAGCAACTCCACACCTCATCAGCAAGAACCAACTGGACGCACACAACTGGCCTCAGTCCGTCCTGGATTGAACAAATGAAGACGCTTGTACGTGGATGAAGCTGCAACTCAAGTTGTCTAACCCAATAAGTCCATCGCATCCAACCATCACACAGGGGCAACAAGTGGCCCCGACATGCTCTTGACTCTTAACCGTGGTTAGTATTGCAGTATTGGAAGACTGAATGAGACCAGCCAATCAACATGACGCTCATCAATCTAATGAACTGGACTTTTTAAGCTGACTCAAGACTGCACTCCAGTGGAAATACAAAGTATCACAACTTCAATAAAGTAAATGGACTTCTAATTAAAAATGGGTGTTTCCTCAAGATCAGAAAAGGGAAGGGGAAGAGGTGATAAATGGACTTTTGAATGTGTTAAAATGTGTGACATTTGAATGTGGAGCATGCAAACTAATGTTACATGTCACTTCTGAAGAATGTAGCTGCCTCCAGACTTTGTCTTCAAATGTATGTGTTTTATCATACTATAAAAATAACTGAGGACTGAAAAGTGGCAGGAACTGTTCCTCTTAAACAGAAAATTATAAGCATACTGTACCAATAAAAAGCGGTTAGAATAAAGAATATAACATTCGCTAGCATTTTTGGAGGCAATACACACGGTCTGTGGTTAAGTATGGATAGGGATTATCGTGTGGGATGATAAAGAAAACGCTGTGCGAGTGGTAAGGAATACAAGTACATTGGAAGCAATACATCACAGCTGTCAGCACACATTGCCTCAAACTATTGCCACATTAACATTTAACCTTTTCCACTTTAAGCTATTTCCTTTGAGGACTGATATAGATGTGCATATGATGCCAGGTGTATGCATGCGAAGGAAACAAGTGAAGGAAGGGATTTTACAACCTATTCGACCACATTGAAACATGTATATGGTATTTATAACAACTAGGAGAGTCAATTCTTTAATTCAACATGTTTTTTTTTTTATCCATCTATAGTTATCGAGGTTAGATTAGCTGATAATGGATGCTGCAGTCTAGAAATGCTTTGACCCACCGCCACACAGGTACATACTTTCACACCACCAGCCTTATATGCCTTAGGGGATAAATATAGGGGATGAAAAACATAGTCCATGTTCAGTCAGAGACACTTATGTCAAGCACCAAACCATTCATAGCAAATGATTATTCAGTTAGGTTTGCTCTTTAAGGGAGCTCTGCAGGTAGAGCTACTCCCCCAAACACATAATGGCAGAGAATCAAAGATAGATGTAAAGATACATAAACATTAAAGCTTCGAAAAAAAAATCCCCTGAGTCATATCAGGAGGGGGTAGAGGTAGTACAGGGAGTTGTGGCAGCAAGCAGTGTTGGTGTCAGAAATCAGCTGGGTAAAAGTAAGAACCTGCAGTTTACAGAAGCCGCTCCAAAAACACCTGTACGAACATAACTGGATGTCACTAGTCAGCCAGTAGCCAAACATATGATGCTTCTGTAAGCCAATGATATGGAGTACAAATGATGCAGCTGAAGACAAACAGCTGACATGACTGCACTTGAAATGATCCGCCTAAACTACTGCAAAGCTTAATTTCTGTGCAAAGCTTATATGAGTCAGCGGTCTGAGTAAAGGTGCGGTCACATTACAAGTCTGTCCACCAAATATTCACTCCACCTCCCTTTTCACTTCTGTTGAATCACAAACAGTGGCTATGCATTTCCTGCTTCGGTGCAATCTCCAGTCATTTCTGGTAAATTCACATGAGAGTTCACCTTTGTCCGACTTGTGGATGTGGATGTGCTCGCAATTGCGAGTAAAAACACTGATGCACTGTGTTTAAAAAATACAGAATCTATTATTCCACCGTGTTTTACCACCACGTTTAGTAAACTATTAGGCTACCAGACATCAAATTGTAACATAGCTCTCTAACACTGTTTACAGCCTGTGATTGCTCTGAGCAAAATTTATATATTACCCACATCAGAAACATGACATCTTGTCTTCTGAACGTGGAGCTATTTAATTGAAGAGAGGGTTAATGGGACCATATCTTTTTTCCATCTTTGGCCCTGCAGCTTTATTCTAGCTTTATTACAAGTGTTGGGTTTTAGAAAAATACAGACATGCAACAACCAGGACATATCTCTCTAGCGTGGCTCAGCAAGGAAATACTGCTCATGGAAACACAAAGAAGGAATTTCATACTAAAGTGGCCATAACTTTGAAAGATACCCACTTGACTTGACTTTAAGAGTGCTGAAGTCTCTTATTTCCTCGACTGAATGTTAGAATGCATTTTTGTGCAGAAAAACGGTTGTGGATTCAGTCCTCCATCCCTTACAGCATAGGGAGCACTTCTTGAAGAGAAATAACTCTCTCATGTATTTTATTAACATTGTAACACACAGTGACGCATCCAAATGTATCAATTAAGTGCCTTTAAAAGGCTTTTAAAAAAATCTGACTCAGTGTGAAGGAAATGAGTAGCAGATGCAGTAAATATTTAATTTAGGGTTTTCATGGTTGAAACCTAGTGTGGTTAACAACTGCCCTTTCCAACTGAAAGACATTTATTATGCTTTCATCTCCCTGTGTCCCTCCGTTCCCACATAAACAGCACGTGTCCCTTGGTAATTCTGGCCACTTGCTACTTTCCCCCTCCCTCTCTTTTCCAGAGTGACCACCGACAGCTCAAACTACATGAAAACCATTTATCACTGCTTCTTTAACATCAGATTAATGTGGGGAAAAACAGAACACATAAACTCTCCTTCTCTCTTTCTGTCACTTTAACACATGCGCACACACACACACCCGACTAGCTCTGTATAAGCTATCAATCATAGATATTGTCATTATTCAACTGTGTCATTGACAAGCCTCTCTCTATCTCTCTCTCTCTCCAGTCTTTCTTTGTCTCCTTCTCTTTTTCCTTCTCTCTATTCTCTCACACACACACACAGAAGGAGAGAATCATGAATCATAAATCTTATGAATGCCATCTAAAGACTGCTCAGCGCTATGAGAAAGAGAGATGATTGATAGATGTGAGTGACTGTGGCGAAAGCAGAGAAGATGGACAGAAGGTTGTAACCAGCAACACCGAGGTCAGAAACTGCAGTTCAGGGGTCAAACGTATCAGAGGAAGCACAATATGGCCGAGAAGGAAGGAGAAAATGGGGGGATGAGAGGAAGGAGGGGAGGGAGTAAATGGTTGAAGGGGAAGGGAGAGAGGAGGTAGGGAGGAGGAGGAGGTGGAGGAGGACGGTGAGGGGGGATGCTGCCACAGTGAGGCTAAAGCCATAACTCATCTTTTATTAAAAATAATGAAAAAAACTTAATGAGTTAATAATATCTGGAGAAAGAGATAGGGAGTGAGACAGAGATGGAGTAAGGGACAGGAGGACGGAGGAAAGGAAGGAAAAGAAGAAAGGAAATGAGGAGAGAGAAAACGGCACAGATAGAAAACAGAACAGGGTCAATGTGTGTGTGTGTCTCTTCTCACCCTTTGGTCATTTATTGCAGTTTGCAAAGTTCACACAAGATCCATTAGACAGGCAGAAAAAATCATAGTGATCCTTCTCTTTCTGCCGACCCAAATCCCAAAGCCTGCTTGGTAATTAAAGGCACTTAACAACCAATTAACAGTGATGAGCTAAATTAGCAGGATATTGTCTCCTTTGACTAGGCTACTGCATTATCAGTGTATTGAAACAGCGTACAACAAACCTCAGTGGCCCGTGTTTGCATGTAGGCAAATGACGGATTAATTACTATTAAAACATCAGCATCTTAATGAGCTTGGAAACAATTAGAGAGGTCGTTAGCATGTGGAGAACGGCTGAGAAAAGAAGAAGGGGGGAGTGAGTGAAAACAAGAGAGAAATCTTCATTGGGAAGCAATACTGATTAAATGGACGTACGGTCGCACTCATCGCCCAATATCCACGGACTTATTAAATACATGACATCACCATTTGTCTTTTCTACCATCAAGCTACTTTTCTCCTGCCATTATCTTTCCCTCTTCTTCTCCGGCTTCCCCAACTCTCTGCCTCCGTTTCGTCTCTCATAAAAAGCCTTTTTCTTTCTCTTTCATTCCTTTCTCCACTTTCTGCTTTTTAACTCCCATTTCTTCCTTCCCTCCTTCATGCTTGAGGGGCACAGTCCTGTGAAGGAATTTAATATGCAACTTTTATATGAGAAACCAATCGCATACGTCTGGGTCTATTGGGCTCGCAATCTATCGGCCCGGACGGCTAATGCAATAGAGAGAGCCGGGGCTATTTATCACACAGGGAGCTATCTTTTCCTCTCTCCCTCTCTCTCTCCCACTCTGCCCTCGCTCTCTCTGTCTTTATTCAAGCCCAGATTCCTGGCTGCCACTAAATCAGGCCAACTATGAGCTATGGCTGCCCAGAGGGCATCTCCTCTTTTATAGGGGGATTTGGATTTTGTATCTACTGGTTCCTCAGTGGTCGTTGAGACTGTGCTAACGGAAGCTATAAACATTCAACAAACAAAGGCAACAACTTAAATGTCCCTCCATCCCTACTGCAATGATCATGAACGTGTAGAGATATATGGGAGTAGGAGGGAGCATAAACCTGATGAATAAGTGGCATTTACAATGATGCTGCAAAGATTTGTTTCTCTGCATGTTTTCAGACAAAGAGGCAGAAACACATACAAAGACAACACATGCACAGACATATGTACACATACTATAGTATTATAGTCATGTTCCCACAATATTACTTATACTATTCACATACAGCAGCAGAATAACTTCAATTCTTTCCTGCTGAAAAACTTAAGCGATATTGTGCGGAGGACGTTGCCCACCTGCAGCAATTAAAATGCCTCAGAAAACCAAATTCATTTCAACAAATTAGCCACATTACTGGCCACTGTGTAATCGCTGATGGCAATTAATAAGAAATTAGTCACAATCAGCCCTATATTAACATCTCACCCAGGGGCCGCGGCTGGAAATTAATAACCGGAGATTCATCTCTCTTACTGTCTTTCTGGCTCTCTCCCTCACACTCACACACTCACACACACACACACACACACACACACCTACGCCCACCTTTATTTTTCATGAATCACCTCTAAGACACAGATTTTTTCTATGTGGATTGTCTCATATGATCCACAATCTGCTCGTGTCAGCTAGCCAGCTTCCTCTTTACTAGGGTGTGAAAACCCCCTGAAAGACATGAGTGTGTGTGAGTGTGAGTGTGAGTCTGTGAGTGTGTGTGTGTTCGTGTGTTTGTGTGTTCGTGTGTTCGTGTGTGTGTTTTTTTTCCTGACACATGCTTGTACAATCAACACACATGTGCAACAAACAGTTTGTGGACATAAATATAAAAACGGATATACCATAGACTGTATATTACACTATATTTATGTGGTGTGTACTGTGTGTGTGTGTGTGTGTGTGTGTGTGTGTGTGTGTGTGTGTGTGTGTGTGTGTGTGTGTTTGTGAGGTGATACACCAATGGGGAGGGGGCATCAGTGGAGACTGGGCCC